GACAAGGAGTTGAGAAGAGTAGTTGAGTCAATGGGTAGGGTTTGAAAAATATTCTGCAGGGAACTTATGTTGGTCTCTAGGCAGGGATAAAGAGGTACTCAGTGTCATGTATTTAAGGGTAAGAACCATGACGTAGAACGGTCAGGTACAATCTAGGAGGCACACAGGAGTGTAAATGACATCATAATGCACATGGAATATATAGAGTTAGCTCAGATTAGTTTGGCAGTGAACATCCACACCAGAGCTGGTAATAGTATCTGACTTTGGTTGCGGATCACAACTTCTATGTGGACCAAGCAAAAAGAATTATCCAATTTAGTCAGTGTTTGCCAAAGAAGCGGGAATTGCATGTTCTCTCCTCCTACACTGACCATTTAATTAGTTACTATAATAAATGACTGAGGAGAAAAAAAATCTGAAGTAATTGCTGAGGTCAAATATTCTAATTTATTTAATTGGACCCTGGTCTTATCAGAAGGATTCAGAAAACCTTGATATCTGGGTTATTTGTATATCCATTGATTCATTCAACAAAAAATACTTCTTCAGCATCTGTTATAGTTTGAACATTAACCAGAGTTCCGGGAATACAGAGAAAAATACACAATTTCTTCCCCCTATGAGCTAGACTCACTGGGAGTAGGAGATAGAAACTGGAAGTAACATTGCATCATTGCACCTGGAGAAGGGACAGCTGAGAGGTGGAAAGGTAAGTAAGGGAAGAATATTATTTTGGGAAATGTCTCATTAAAAAAGAAGTGGAAAGAATGGGGAAAACTTTGGTTTCAAGTTAAGGATCTGTCATTCTCCATGGTAGATGAGGCTTTCTGTCAAATATTTTCTGAGAAGGAAAATTCAGGTCCTTGTCTTTATGAGATTATCTTATCTTTCTTTCTTTCTTTTTTTTTTAGCTTATCTTTCTAAAGGACTTTTACGGGGTGTGTGGCTAGAAGTGTTTGGACTTTTTAATACATAAGCTAGTTTTTAATTCCTTTCCTATATTTTTGGGCATATTTGTCTCTGGTTTCAGAATTTGAGGGAAATTTCATTCTGTTTTCCTTTTCTCTTTCTCTTCTACATGATTCTTTTTATTGCTCTTGCCCTATTACTTACCCCTTTGCTTAATTTCTGTTTTATCATTAAATTATTTTTTCTCTCCACTCCTCACCATAATTCTTCTCTCTTTATATGTTTTCTTTATCTTCATCTTCTAAAATATCTTATTTTAAACACTTAAGTTGAAATTGCAAAGGAATCAATTCAAATTAATTTAGCAAACACTGACTTTCTAAAACTGACAATTCTGCCCTCTGAAACTCTCCTAGGATGAAGACAGAAATGAATAATGCAGGTGTGCTCTCCTGTGGTGCTTGGAAACACAGAAACCAAATCATGCACATGTAACTATACTGCGGGGCCAAAGATGCTGTGCTAAGTATGAAGTGATACAGGAAAGAGAGGGAACAAGATTTTTTTCCCTGCTAGGATAAATGGGGAGGTTTCATGAAATAGGTGGTACTTCAATGGAGCTGTGAAAAAAAAAATTTCATGATAGATGGAACAGCATTTTTTATTTGGAAGAGAGAGTTTGAAGAAAAGGAAGGAAAGAGATTCAGAGATGGGGAAGGGTTTGATTTGGCGACCATAGGGTAAGTTAGTGCTGGGGTCCAAACACAGAGGCCCTAGAATCTTGGGGTTGTGTTTTAATAACCTTATTATAATATTTAAATATTATATTATAATATTATATTATAATATAATATTACTTTGTCTTCACAAATAATATTATATTATAATATTATATTATAATATTATAATATTTCTTTGTGTCTTCACAAATTCTTTTCTTTTTCCCTTCCTGACTGAACAATACATGACCCTTGTATTTTGCAAGGCTAAGCCTTCTTGATCTTTATTTTTTATTTCATTCATTTCTGCTTTTCCACAGCCCCAATTGGTCTGCTTTTCCACAGACCAATTACCTCCAGCTATTGTGCACCTTCATATTCTCCTCTACTGTTCCTGTTCACTTCTGTTTATTCATTAAAAAGTCCTTTTATTTTGGTCTCTCTCCAAGTATCCTTCTCCTCTTTTATTTTTAAATTGTATACTCTCAATAGACTAACTTTCTTAACAACCTATGTTTAACCTTAACCCCGGGCAATTTGAGTTTGTTCCTCTCTTGTTCATTCCATAAATATTTATGGGGCACATCTCATGTTACATTCTAGGCACTGAGAATACATTAGTGAAGAATTCCTAGAATGCCTTGCCTTCAAATACCAATTTTTCTTATTATTGATCCCAGAAACACTGAATTGATCCTTATTCTTCTTGATTTCACTGCAACACTATTTATCTTCTGAAATAATTTCATTTCCTGACTTCTAGATCCCTGAACTCTCTGGTTCTCGGGAAAGTTTTCTTTCCTTGTTTTTTGTTTCTTTTTCCCAGACTTAATTCATTTATTCATGAGAGACGCAGAGAGAGAAGCAGAGACACAGGCTGAGGGAGGAGCAGGCTCCCTGCAGGGAACTTGATGTGGAACTCCTTCCCAGGATCCGGGATCACATCCTGAGTTGAAGGCAGATGCTCAATCCCTGAGCTACCCAGGTGTCCCTTTCCCAGACTTTAAATCTTGGGCTTTTCTTATAGCATATTTGACCTTTCCTCTAGATACATATATTTCTTGGAGCTTCAATGATCATATCTATGTAGATGATTTCTAAGTGACCTCTCTAGACTTAGCTCCTTAAAAAAACCCAAAACACTACATGTATCGCATTCCACAACTTAAATCCCCAGAATGCCTAATATGAGCAGTTAGACTATATATCTCCCTCTAAACATTGCTGTAGCTGCATCCTACAGGATTTGGTATAAAGATATTTTGTGGGGATCTTTGGGTGGCTCAGCGTTTTAGCGCCTGCCTTTGGTCCCCGAGGATTGAGTCCCCGCATCGGGCTTCCTGCGTGGAGCCTGCTTCTCCCTCTGCCTGTGTCTCTGCCTCTCTTTCTGTGTCTCTCATTAATAAATAAATAAATAAAATCTTAAAAAAATATTTTGTGACTCAGTTTAAAATGTTTTCCAATTTCCATTGTGATTTCATCTTTGACCCAAGAGTTACGAGTGTGTTTCCTAATTTCCAAACACAGGAAGATTTTCCAGTTATATTTTGGTCAGTGGTACCACCTTAAATGTTTTGGGGCTGGAATATGGTCTGTGTGGTAGCAATCTTTTGAAATTTGTTAAGATTTACTCTATAATACAGCCTATGGTAAAGTTTTGTAGTGTTCTCCGAATGCTCGAGTATTCTGCATATATTGGGGACAGGGATCTCTACAATTCAATTTGATTAATCATGTTTTTAAACCTTCATTATACTGACTGAGATATTTTGTTGGTTTGTCCTAATTGCTCAGCGAAAGAAGTATCTCACGCTCTCACTATTTTCACAAATATACAGTATTTCTGTTTCCTTTTGTAATTCTGCCAGTTTTTTCTTTTTGTGTTTTTAAGCATTTGGAAGTCCCTGTGGGCCAGTAGAAGCAACAACTTGTTGCCATATAATACTTAATACCTTTTTTTCCTTTCCCTTCACAGCTCTGTTTAAATCCTTTTCCACTTCTCTCTTGACATGGCTTCCTGACATCAGAGGAGAACCCAGGGTGAAATTTTAAACAGAGACAGTAATAACAAGGGAAGTTGGTGAGAGATGGAGTGAGATTAGGACCAGGAGATATAGGGCCTTTTTCAAATCTACTTACGTGCCCCTGTCATCATGGTTTGACCAAATGAATAGATAGATGTGATGGTTAATTTTCAGAATATAAAAATTAGTGAAGGAATAAAGGGGAAAGGAGAGAAAATGAGTGGGAAATATCAGTGAGGGTGACAAAGCACGAGAGACACCTAACTCTGGGAAATGAAAAAGGGGTAGTGAAAAGGGAGCCACAGGGGAGTTGGGGGTGAATGGGTGATGGGCACTTGAGGGGGGCACTTGGCGGGATGAGGACTTCTAAATGTTGGCAAATTGAACTCCAATAAAAAAATTTAAAAAAATGTACATTGTTTTAGAAATATATTGTTTAAAAGATTTATATATTTATTTGAGAGAGAGGGTCCGAGGGTGAGCAGAGGGAGAGAGAGAGAGAGAGAGAGAGAGAGTGAGGGGAAGCAGACTCCCTGATGACTGCCAGGCTAGATACAGGGCTCAATCTCGTGCCCCTGAGGTCATGACCTGAGCTGACACCAAGAGCCTGACCCTTAAGTGACTGAGCCTCTCGGGCGACCCTATATTCTCTTAAATAGATAGTATGGTGGCCTTGTGTTGTGTCAGCTTAGCTAGATTGAATTACATACTCTCAGATTCCTTTTTCTGTATGTTTCCAACTAGAATACATTGTAAGGGAGATGCTTTTGCAATATTTCTAGGTTAAAGTGAAGCAGCTGTCCTACTTGTAGTTCACACACTTTGTCATTTCTCTGCTGTCTTGTCTCATTGGTGTGAGGCAGTGGCCAGAACTGCAGCTGCCACACCTCCCTCGGGAGGCTTCTTGAGCTCGTCTGACTTGTGGGCCAGCTGTGTGTTCAGCTCTGTGGTGGAGGGCCCTGGCTTCTGCAGTACATCTGCACCATCGGGGTTAGAGGCGATGAGCACTGGCACTAACTTTTGTCTGACCTCAGAGACTTTAGCTTTTGCTTGTGGGTTCTAGTTAATTCTCGCCTTCCTCCACTGTGCATCCATCTTCTTTTGCTGGCTGCCTGTCCTGTGGACTTCAAGCTATGGTAGCCGGTGCAAAGACAACAGACTTACAGAGACTACTGAACCAGTTTCCAAGGTCATATAAGGTCAAAGCACTAACACATCCCTTAGTATATTATCTCCTAGTGGTTCTGCTTCTCTAATGTAACCTTGACTGATATGGTCACTAACCCCAATTTCTTGTGTTTTCCTGTTCTTTCAGGCCAATTTGGAGCCCAAAGTGACTGCAACCATGGGGGGAGGAAATAATTCGGTAGTGTCTGAGATTGTGTTGGTGGGACTCACCAGTTCTTTGGAGATGCAGCTTGTCCTATTTCTAGTTTTCTCTGTGTTCTATGTAACAGGTATTTTAGGAAACCTCCTCATTGTGCTCACAGTGATTTCTGATTCACATTTACATTCCCCCATGTACCTCCTGCTGGCCAACCTCTCCTTTATTGACATATGGGTTTCCTCCATTGCAGCTCCCAAGATGATCTCTGATTTTTTCAAGGAGAGAAAAGTAATCTCTTTCCAAGGCTGCATTGCTCAGATGTTCTTCATTCATGTTATTGGAGGAACTGAGATGGTTCTGCTCATTTTCATGGCCCTTGACCGTTATGTTGCTATATGCAGGCCTCTCCACTATCTAGCCATCATGAACTTCAGAACTTGCATTTCACTCCTGGTGGTGGCCTGGGCCATTGGGATCATCCACTCATTGATCCAACTGGTGTTTGTTGTAAACCTGCCATTTTGTGGCCCCAATGAGGTGGACAGCTTTTACTGTGATCTTCCTCGATTTATTAGGCTTGCCTGCACAGACACCTACAGATTAGAGCTCATGGTCACTGCCAATAGTGGCTTCATCTCTCTGGGAACTTTTTCCATTTTGGTTATTTCCTATATCTTCATCTTGGTCATCGTTTGGCAACGTTCCTCAGGTGGTTTGTCCAAGGCCCTCTCTACACTGTCAGCTCACATAACAGTGGTGGTCTTATTTTTTGGTCCATGTATTTTTGTGTACTCATGGCCATTTCCCACAGTGCCAGTGGATAAGTTCCTTGCCATTTTTGATGTAATTATTACTCCATTTCTGAACCCTGCCATCTACACTTTTAGGAATAAAGAGATGAAAGTGGCTATGAGGAGAATATTCAGTCAGGTGTTGAGCTTCCAGAAGCTGTTTAAGTGACTTTGATATCAAGGAAGACAGGCATCTCTGATATTCCCTGCCGTTGCTGCAGACATGAATCCAAGGAAACACAGCACCATGGGTGGTCTACTGACTAGTTTAATTATTGATTCCAGGATTTTCTTACTGTGTTTTCTGTCCATAGCCAAGGAGGATATAGTTTGATTCCTTATGAAATATGACAGAATAAAAAGTATTAATATACAATTGTTTGTACATTTTCTTGCCTCTCCTTGATAAGGAAGATTTTGGACTGGCTTCTTCTTTATCTTTTCCTACTCTGTGTTCCCAGGAGTATCTTTCTTGTCAGAATGATTTTGTGGTTTGTAATGCAGCATCTGAAGAAAAGTGCTTTAGAAATATTAGAAAATTGCAGTTTTAGGGATAGTGTTTTTTTCTTTTGAGTTTGTATAGTGAGACGTGTGAGATTAGCTATAGTGTGTGAAGAAATTAAAGACAAAGACAGGATTTTAAAGAGATACTGTTGTCTGTCTCTTACCTTTCAATATATATTGTCCTTTAGTAAATGAAAGCAAAGATCTAAAGTTATTTTGAAGTGTGTGTGTGTGTTTGTGTGTGTATTTATCACAACATCAGCCTGACATTGGACCACTGGTTTATGGCTTCTTAAACTTTTCAACCAATGCAGTAACAATTATGCATTAACCTTTATAATTACTCCAGGACTTTCAACAGCTGTATTCCTGTACTGTCAGGGAGTTAAATAATGGGGACCTGGTAATGAGCAAAGACAAGGACCTGTTTATTAATTTTGTCCCAGGTAGTGCTAATCCTTACCCTAATTATAATGAAATCAGCAATGATTCCTCAGAAGTAGGTAACCTGTCTTCTTTTATAGTGACATGGTTAAGAGCACACTCTCTTGGGCCAGACTGCCTGACTTTAAATCTTAGCTTTGCGTTTTGACTAACACATAGATTGCTTAACTTTCTTATGCCTAAATTTTGTCATCTGTAAAATAGAGGTAAGTTGAACCATCTGAATTTTTCTTTTTTTAAGATTTTATTTATTTATTCATGAGAGACACACAGAGAGACAGAGAGAGGGAGAGACACAGGCAGAGGGAGAAGCAGGCTCCATGCAGGAAGCCCAATGTGGGACTCAATCTCGGAACCCCAAGACCATGCCCTGGGCCAAAGGAAGGCACTAAACTGCTGAGCCATCCAGGGATCCCTGAAATTTCTGATCTTTGTTTGTGACTTACTGAAATGGCAGTTCCTTTATGGTAGATACCTTCCTCATAAGTTTATAAGACTTCACTAAGCTAGTATTTGTCAAGTGCTTACAAAATCCTTGATCTAGAGTATTATATAAGTGCCTGTGCAATGAAATGAAATAAAACATTAAAACCACTTCTCAGTTTTGATGACATTCTTCCATGCTTTCTACAAATTATTTCCTTTCCTTTCTAGATCCATTTATCAGGGCAGCCCGGTGTCTCAGTGGTTTAACACTGCCTTCCACCTAGGGCGTGATCCTGGAGACCTGGGGTGGAGTCCCACATCGGGCTCCCTGCATGGAGCCTACTCCTCCCTCTGCCTGTGTCTCTGCCTCTGTTTGCCTGTGTGTGTCTCTCATAGATAAATAAAATATATATTAAAAAATCCATTTATCAGACCTTGATGGAGAAACACACTTTTCCTACAGGACTAAAGTATTCTATTTTATTTATTTGTTCATTTAGTTTTAAACATACTTTATTATTTGAGAGAGGGAAGGAGCATCAGAGAGAGAGAAGAGAAGAGAGAGCAACCATCAGGGGAAGAAGCAGGAGAGGGAGAAGCAGGCTCCTTTCTGATCAGGGAACCTGATGCTGGGCTCCATCTCTGGACTCTGAGATCATGACCTGAGCCAAAGGCAGATGCTTAGCTGACTGAGCCACCAGGTGGCCCAGGACTGAAGGATTTTAAACGATAAAAGTCGTTGAATACAGAGACTTCAAAATGCCACAATTTGATTTACTTTATACACTTCCTTTCATATTCAAATTGCATCCTAATGCTCTGTGCAATAGTTCTAAGAAGCCTGTCTTGGTTATCTCTGGTGTTTTTTTTTTTCTAATATGCTGGAAGAAGTTAACAAACTGACTAGGGTATAAAAAAATTAAATAAATAGAAATTCAATTAACCAAAAAAGGTATTGAATATTTACTATGTTCTAAATCCTATGCTAGGAGCTGTAGAAAATTGTGTGAGAAGGATATAACTTGGGGTGCCTGGGTGGCTTAGTTGGTTAAGTGCTCCATGCTTGATTTTGACTCAGATCATGTTCTCATAGGTCCTGGGATTTATCAAGTGTCCACATACAGCAGGGAGTCGGCTTGAGTTTGTCTCCCTCTGCCGCTCTCCCTATGCTTGCATGTGTGCTGTCTCTCTCAAAGAAATGCGTCTTAAAAAATAAGGACGTATACAACTGAATTGTATGAAAAGATGATCCATCTCTGAGGCTACAAAAAGCACTTCATAAAAAAAAGAAAAGCACTTCATGAAAGTAAGGGGTGTGATAGGGTGGGCAGACTCAACAACAGGGTTTAGTAGAGGGAATTCATGAATTTGTGAATGTCATGAAAGTGGTTAGACCCCATGCTGACCAGTCTGTGCTGGGTGTGTGCATGCCCTAGGAAGAAGGGAAGCTCATGGGGAGCTCTGGAGGCTTTGGGCAGGTTGACAGCACAGCAAGATGGGAGATGCATACCTACTCTATCTACCTCACTGTCTGACCGGGATTGGTTAAAGCTGACAAGATCTGGCTCTGCCAACTTCATTGAACCTTTATTGCTCTTCTTAGCCATTTTGGACTTCCTGTTTTTGGAAAACACCAATACTCTCATGGCCTGAGACCCGTACACTGTATTTCCATTCACTTGCAAAGACCTTTGCCTGGGTAAAGGCAGGGCTGGCTCTTCCTCATCATTCAAGTTCAGCCCGAGTGTCAACTCCAAGAAAAGACTTCCTATCTAAAGAAGTGCCCTCTTGCCTTTGTTCTCCAGTCAGTTTCTATCATATGCTTTGTTTGAGCGTCTCCATTTGAATGATTGCGCTGTTTTATTAACTATTTTTTGTTTCTGTCCACAGGGAAAGAAGGTCCATAAAGCAGAAAACAAGATTTTTTGATCTTTGTACCCAGACAGCTGCCTGACCTACAGTGGGAAGTCAATGATTACTTGTTTTTGTCTGGGGAACAAATGGTAAATAAAAACAGAGAGGGAGAGAAACAACTCTTTCATTCTGAATCACAAGGAATGGAATGAAATAGGAAAAATCTCATAGATTTAGCACAAATGTTGAACTTACTCATAATAACAAACTTGTGGAATCTAAAGTACATTTGTAGGTTACATAAAGATAAGCACAAGGAAGAGAAAAGAAGAATAACTGAAAATCATTTCACTCACATGTAATTGTCAAAATTTTGTTATATTTCTTTTAGGATTTTCTTTTATGCATTTGAAAAATCATACAAAATAGGACCACGTTGTTCTAAAATTCATTTAACAATATGATATGTGAGTCATTTAACGATATGATGTGTAAATCTCTTATGCTGATAATTCTACCTCTAGCATGTAGTTCTTGGTCACTGTGTGGTAATCCAGTGGATGGATGTAGCCATATTGCTTTAGTCAATTCTTCTAATTTTTAGTTATTTCTAATTTTTAGTTTTCAACAACTCTGCTATGAAAGATATTGATGTACCATTTTATATACACATAGCTTTGATTACTTCCTTATAATCACTTGATAGAAATGAAATTGCTGTGCCAAAAAGTATTCGTAAGGCTTGATTAAATATGGCAAAACTGCCCTCTAAGGTGATTGAGTTGATTTGAAATTCCATCACCAGCAGTGAATTACTCATGAGTTTCCCCCATGTTTGCAAACAGTGGATATGTGATTAACTTGAATCTCTGCAAATGCAAAAGATAAAAAATACTACCTACTGATCTCATTGATTTTTTCTACTTTCTAAATGAAATATTACATATTTATAAAATCTGTAACATATATTTGAGCTAAAAAGCATAATAAAATAAATATGTGTGAGCCTATCTCTTGTTGGATCTGCTCTTCCAACCCCTATCCCTTTGCCTTTTCACCCAAAACAATCACTAGCCTGGATTTTTTTGGTTTATGCTTCTTTTGTTTGTTTGAAACACAATTGTTCTAAAGAAGTATATTATCTACAATGTTGTTTAATTTTTGCTCATTTTTAAAGCTTACATACATTCTTCTTTAAAGATATATATACTTATTAGAACTCACTGAAGAGAGAATTAGGAATATATTTTTAAGGAATTTGTCTATTTCATCCTTACCATTTTAAAATTCATTGGTATCAAGTTTTTTACAGTAGTTTCATTACTTTTTAAAAAATGATATATCTATACCATGTTGAGATATATTCCTAGTTGATTTTCCTTCTCTGTTTCTGTCTCATGTCTTCATTTGTTCTTTTCTCTGTGTATTATGTGTATCACTGAGGTGTACTTCAATATGCAAATAATTGCACATATTTAATGTGTATAATTTTATGAGTTGGATAGCATCATATGGAAACATCCATGCTGCCATCACTACAATTAAAATAATAGATGATATGAAACACCTCCCCAAGTTTCCTTGTGTGTCCTTTAGTTTTACTTTACTTTTTTGCGTGTGTGAGGTACAACACTTACCATGTCTACCCTTTTAGCAAATTTTGAAGTGTACAACACCATATTGTTAATCACAGACACTGTGCTGTAAGTGGGTATCTAGGACTCATTCATCTAAAATAGCTGAAATTTTGTACCCAGTGGAAAACAACTGTCTGTTTCCCAGCCTCTAGTGATCACTATTGTATTCTATGCTTCTGTAAGTTTGACTATGTTAGATCCCTCATATAAGGCAAATCTTGTATTGGTCCCGTGAATGGCTATTTCACTGAGCATAATGTCCTTCAGTTTTATTCATGTTGTCACAAATGGCAGGATTTCCTTC